TCCTATATGCTTTTTACGACGATAAACACAAATTCAAACACAAGAATAGCGCGTACAAAATGTACAAATTTTCCATAACAATCGCTGGGTTTTTGTGTTGTTTACGTTATTTCTGAATGAAATGAACATCAACGGCAATGAATGTCATTTACCTCATACTCGTTAACGCACGTCTCTATTTTTTCCACCGTTTAATGCTAACTTTTTGCCGTTTTTCAACACTCTCAAAATATAAGCTATTTAATCGACTCGTTCTCTATTTTCAATCTCTTCCTTCACTCGTAAATCGTTTGTTGTTATGTATCTTCCAATAACACGGTAACATACCATTACCGGTGGTAATCGTGTTTCGTTTTTTTGTTCAGACACGTAACGCTATTCTTCTCACAAATTAATATGAATTTCGTCAGTTTGGTTTTATAAAAATCATGGTCAAAAATTTGCATCGGTCGTTTATTGTAAATGTAACTTGTTCAAATTGTGATGTCGTTAAAAAATAAAAGAGAAACGATATTACTTGACGACCGCCGAGTGCAATAAACGAATTCATTGAAACCAAAAACTAAATGTTATTCTGTGGTCGCAACGCTTCGCTGACTAATAATCGCTGTGCTCAATTTTTGAGGACAGATTTATTTTGTTATGGTTTTACTCTCTCTCTCTCTCGCTCTCTCTCTCAATATCGCTGTCTTTTGTTTTGTGCGTTCAGAAGAGATGAAATAGCATCTCGACATTTATTGAAAATGTACTGCTTGGAACAGAAGTTTATCTCAAAATCCTATCCTACGAACAAGATAAGATAGAAGTAAAAGGTTTTTGTGTTTTCATTTCATGTTCTGGGAACAACAACAACGCCAACAAAAATATAAGTTATAGTTCAAACATAACAAATTCATCAGATTGAATTGAATATTTGAAAACAATTGAAATCCGTGTTTCGTAGCACAAAATGAAACCTCAAACAAGAATCAAATAAATGAACACCATCGACATCATTGAATAGGCAATGTACAGCACCTAAATAGTATTACGGCCATTGTTTGAACCTGGTTTCTCTTCATCTTTTTGCTTCTTAATTTATATTTTCATCGCCATTGTCGATGATGATTTTTGTTGTTGTTGTTTCTGTGTTGTCATATAGTCGTTTTCTTTTTCCAACTTTTCATTCATCTCTTTCGCTTGATTCATAATAGAAGTACGATATTTAATCTCGACTCTCATTCCCGGTGTATGTGTGTGTGTCTGTGTCAGTGTATGCCGGGCCTCAATTTTTACTTCATTTTTCCTCGTTCTTATGGATATATAGTACAAAAGCCGCATATTTTGTCTCTGTTCCTCCATTATTTGGATTTCCTCTTGTCGTTGCATATCGACCCGAAACAGCACAAGAATGTTGCCGAAGGCACAAATGAAATGCACAGCATTCATACTCACAGCCACCGCATGCAGGTTCACATTGAAATTGCTTTGTGCGTTATTCCATTCGTCTAGTTAAATTCGTTTTCTTCTCTCTTTTTTTTCACTTTGCATGTGGAGAAAATTAACGTTTTGCAGTAGCAAAATTCATGAAAATGCTTGAAAATGATGGAAATTCCAAAAACTACCTTGTAGCCGTTGGCGCATACAGAATTAAAACTCACAACGAATGAGAGATACAGAGAACTTGATAGAATTTACAACATTGCATTTTCGCATTTAATCAGAAAAACAACTACAAAACATTCATTAAACCAATCTCGATTACGACGACGAATAAAAAATAAATAGTAGGATAGAAAGATGGAAAACGACTGGAATTCATTTGCCATAGATTTAGCAGCCGAAATCATCACGTCTCAATGGCTATTCAAATGTGCATAAATTGCACTCGATGAAAATGTGATTGAAAGGTTACGATACTTTCGGATAGAATAAAAAATGAACATTCAATTTTCTACCTGAACTGAATTAAAAACGAGAGTTTCTGATCGATCAAATAAATAAGAGAAGAAAAAAAACAGATTTCAATATTTACCGAAGAATCGATTCGATTCGTCTGGGTGCTGCTTTTTTTTGTTTCTCTCGTCATTTTGAAATGTAAGAATAAAATCCACATTTTTGATTGCAGTGGGATATTTATACTGTGTATGTTTTTTATATCGACAGTTTCAAGAATTTTTCAATATAGTAGGTGAAATTCCGTAGAATTTTTATTTTCTTAGAATCGTTATATGGCACACAAATTACCCCAATGGAAATAGTTCAAAAGAAATAAATATGTACGGACTGCAATGTCAATGTCTAAAGTGTATGAACGTTTTTGGTTTCGGCCTTTTATGAAAAAAAAGAAAGACCGTGAATTGAAAACGAAGCGCAAAAAAACCCATTGCAAAATGATTCCAGTGACGACATTGTATGCATGAGCTTCGTCACGTAATTTGACTAACAATAATAATATAATAATAATTTATTTATTTAGATTTCTCCATAAAACAACGTTACAGTTTACATAGTTTTCAATTAATAATTTTCCAATACATAGTTTTTTAATTTATTTTCAAATTTTTTTATCGAATCAATATGTCTAATTTCATTAGGAATGGCATTATAAAGTTGAATTCCCCTATAAAACAAGGCATTTTGGCTACATGCTTTAGTTGCATTTGTGACTGCTATGGTATTTGCTCTTCTCAAATTTCTATTGTGAATTTGTTGTCGATATTCGATTCTATTGGTAAGGTAATTAGGGGCTAGTCCGTTCACGGTTTTATAAATGAATAATAAAGTTCTAAAAATTATTTGTTGCTTAACATTCATAAATTTCAACGAATCAAATAGATAATTAACATTAGTATCACGATTTACACTTAAAATTTGTCTCATACATTTATTTTGCAAGTTTTGTAGCCGATCAATATTAGACGAATTGGACAGAAATAAGATAGATGCACAATAAATAAAATGTGGTTGAATGAGTGACTTATATAAATATTCTTTTTGGTTTTTGTTAAGTTCATTTTTTAATCTACTTAGAACACCGACTTTTTTACCCACTTTTTTACAAACATATTCAATATTTTTGTCAAATTTAAGTTGGTCATCAATGATAACACCCAAATACTTTATTTCTCTCTCAATTTCTAGTCTGGTGCCATTTATGAATATGTCTATGATGCTACGATTGATTTTTTTATTTGTAATTATCATGGCTTTAGTTTTATCTATATTCAATTTTAATTTAATTTGGCATAGTTTATCAAATAATCTGTCCAGATCTTCATTGAGTTTTTGAATGGCTTCATCAATATTAATAGCACTAATGTATACAAATGTATCATCAGCAAACATTTTAACGGTGCAATGTTTAATACAAGAAGTTATACAATTTATATACAAAATAAATAATAATGGGCCCAAAATGGATCCCTGTGGTACACCCAAATTATTATCACGTGGCTCTGAAATTACGTCGCCGATCTTAACCGTCTGGCTTCTGTTTGTTAAATAGCTCTTGAACCATTGAAGAGATAATGGTTGAACTCCGTATTTTTTTAATGTTTCGATGAGTAAATTTGGTTCGATGACCTCAAATGCACGTTGAAGATCCAGGGAAACTGCGACGGTAATTTGCGATTTATTTTGCGCATCTCTCAAATCATATAGCACATCGTTGATTGCTGACTCACACGAATGTAAAGCTCGAAATCCCGATTGACATTGATTGAGAAGATTGTTTGATTGAACGTACATATTGAATTGTTTGTGTGCTAGTTTTTCGATGACTCTTTCAATGCATGGTAACATATTTATTGGCCGATGTTCGTTAATGAGTACAGTTCCACTTTTCTTCTGAATTGGCAAAATTGTTGACTGTTTGAGTGCTTCAGGAAAGATCCCGCAGGTGAACGATTCGTTGATGATATTGGCTAATTGTAGGCCAATAACAAAGATCGCATCCCACAATACGGTTGGTTTGATAAAGAACTCATCTGTGTTGTCTTTCAGTTCTTTGATGCACGATTTTATCTCTGATAATGAAACATTACGAAATTCAAAAGAGAGATGTTCGTCAGCAATGATGTCATTTACATAGATTCTAAGTGGTATGGATTCGTTCAGCTGAATAATGCTGGTCACAAAATACTCGTTGAATTTGTTAACAATATCGATATCGTCATCAAATGTTTGGTCGCCGTTTTTAATATATGTAATTTCACTTGAATCTTTGCATAAAATTGATTTTAATACTTTCCAGGTACCCTTTGAATCACCCTGCACGCGATTTAGTTTATTTTGGTTTGTCTCATATTTTTTTATTTGTATTTTATTTTTATATTCATTTTTAAACACTCTGTATTCATGCCACTTTTCATCCACATTATATGTTTCGTACTGTGCAATTTTATACAAACGGTTCTTTTCAACTCTCATATTCTCCAATTCACTATCGAAAAAATTGTCAATATTACGGATTGTTATCTTTGACTTAAATTGATCGGTGCTCAGGCTTAAAACACTTAGAAGCCAATTCATTTTATCATTCAATGATGCTCGTTCTACATAATGCCAAGAAAATAAATACGACTCAATAGTATCACAGAGCTTCAAGCGGTCATAGTCTTTCCATACAGATATTTGATGATTCTTTGGCTTATTAGTTTCACATTTACCAATTAGGTTTATTTCCAATAGTGCGTGATCGGATATTTTGTCGTCAATCGAAACAGAACACATAATGTTTTTGGATGCAATATTGGACAGGCACAAATCTATTAATGTCGATGAATTTTGTGATACACGAGTAGGGTTGTTTATTAACTGTTTCAAACCGTTGTCATCACAGAAACTCTTCAGTCTTCTTATATAAGCCGAATCAGCATTCATATCAATGTTGAAGTCACCACATAACATCACAGTTTTATTTTCTGGAACACTTTGATACCAGTTTTCAAAAGAATTTAACACTAGATGTTTGTTCTCGCTTGCAGACAAATATATACCTGCCATAAAAATTGGTCTTTTTTTTACAATTATGTCAAAGGACAGATACCATGCTAAATGTTCACTTATTACAGCTAAATTGTCATATTTAATTGATTTATGGATAAATGCACCGACGCCACCTGTATGTTTAGAATGTGACAAACAATACACAAATATATAATCTTTAAGTCGTATATCACCAATATCACAGTCGTGGGTTATATGAGTTTCATTAAGAAAAATTATCGATGGATTTTTTTTCTTTATCACATATTTTAATTCGCTGAAATTATTTCGAAGGCCTTGAATGTTTGAGCATAAAATATTAATTGTGGAAGATAATTGCTATTCTGTTGTATTGTATTCGATTTTGTTGACTAAAGATTCGATGCGTCGCTTGTAGACTGGACAATCGGTACTCCATGCATGATGTTTTGTGTCAATTTTAACCTTTAGTTTTTCATTGGCTGAACGGCAGTTTGCACAACACATGTTACGGCTTTTGCATTCAGAGTATTTATGTGGCCCACCACATTTGCTGCATTTTTGATCATGCTTACAATCCTTGGCAATATGCGAAAAACCAAGACATTTGTAGCAGCGTTTCACATAAATGTGTTCATACACATTGCATTCACGCCACGGCAAACGCAATGTATGCATTTCCATCAGCATTTTATATGTGTCACTATTCACCTCAATAATAACATCACACGATGATTGTTGTTTGCTTGTTGCTTTTCTTTTGAGAACTGTGATAAGCGACACGTCACAGTCAATTAGCTCTTCATTATTCTTTTTCAATTCATCAATGATATCTTCTTTGGCAATATTTGTCGGTATGTTTGTGACACGTAATCTGGGATTTTTTATTTTCGGCAACACAATTTCATATTCATCACCTAATTTTTCGTTGACCAAAGATTTCACTTTCATTGTCTCTGTTGCATTTGCACACTGTAAAACTATGCCACCTTCTCTGACGTTCCGCGTACTGCACACATCAACAGCAGCAGTGTTTACATTACTTGTGATTGCTTCAAGTGTTTTTGCACATTCTTGCTTATTTTTCGGCTTAATCACGACAACTGGTTTCACATTGCTCCGCTTCACAACATTGGCAAACGAACATGATGCATGTTGCGAGGTCGCATTCTTGACAACTTTGGGTGTTTGCTTTTGTGCCATGATTTTTTTATCCAATGCATCGAGTGATGTTTTAACGGCTTTGATCGATTCGCTGTTGATATCATTTTGAGGTTTGCACTGTTGGTTGAATGCATCCAACTTGTATAACAAACGCACAACCATTTTCAATTTCTCATCTATTCCATCCTCACGTTTTATAATGCATTCTGGACAATAAATCAATACACATTTGTTACCACGACGCGCGTTGTATGCCGCTTTTGTGATGTTGTTGCACTTAATATGGAAACTTATTTCACAGTTGTCACATTGCATGGAATCGTCTCCGTCTAATATGTCTTTATCACAAACGTAACACACCAAATCTTCAATCGGTATTACAATCGATTCATTTGCCATTTTTTCCAGCTCCGATTTATCACAATTTATTAATCTTCACTTTTAATTAAATTGATTACATTTAAAACATAAAATTGCAAATTTTGGTATCAAAATACACAATAAATATTTAAAAAAATGATTGAATTTTACGGAACGATATTACTTACGACTTGTTCAGAATGACAGCTGTCAATCCCCCTCCGTCCGCAGTTTGCGAGCATTTTTTTTATTTAGATGGGTGTTTGTGGTTTTTTTCACTACGGTTACTTGCAACACATGAAATCTGTGTGCGGTGTAATACGTCATTTATTTTTATTACATATGATGAATATTAATGCAGAGCATTAAATTATTTGTAAGAGAAAGAAAGAGTGAGCAAGAGAGGGAAAGAGAGGAACAGTTCGACAATTTATACAGGTGTATAAAATGTGGTATTAAAACTAGCAAATGCAATAATAAATTCACTCACAGTGCTTCTATCATCGATTTTGACATTGGCAATTGCACGTTATTATTAATTAATATTGATGCGATGGACGGTTTAACGCGTTCGGTTGTGCACATTTCACCGAAAATTTCTGTTTTTATTTTTCAACTAAGTTTTTCAAACGAAGCAAATTGCACGCTGGAATAAAGCCGCCGTTTGAATAGTCCGGAATAGTCAACGATGCTTGAGGCAGGTAAATGTGATTCCGTGTCTAGCGTGTTTCATGCCATAATGAAATAAAAACGAATGTAGCTGTTCACTGTACAGTGTACAGTGTTCATTGTTCGGTTTAAGGTCACATCAATGAAATTCGTCGAAATCGAGAGATTCAATCAACAAACGCTCCAATAATAACAGCTAACAACAATCAACAATCCATGACGAAGTGTTTTATGGAACTTCTTCTTCTTCTTTTTCATCATCATCATCTGAATGGATTTGGAACTGTTGAAGTCAAAATAAAATTAGAGAAACGTTCACGTCGAAAGAGAAAAAGAAACCGAGTGCACAATCTAGCAAATGACATCAACAATTGAACATTAAAAAAAACGCATTATAATTATGCAAACAACATTTGGCTACATGTAAACTAGTTGAAAATCGTTGGCCTGAGCGCGTTTAAGCAACAACAATAGCGAGCGAAAAAGAGATCATTACAAATTTTCAAATGAATAATTAATAACGGCAGCAGCAGCTACAGTAGTAGCACCAACAGTGGCCAGAGAACCACAAGAGTAGTTTTTTTTAATTCTTTTTTCCAGCTCCTAATTCGTTGGCTGTTTCTTTGCATTAGCTGCGCTCTATTCTGCCATGTAGATTATGTTATTTGTTGCAATGCTTTTATGTGTTCCGTCTCCATGTTTGCGTTCGCAATGGGGAATTTTTTTTTGTTCGCTCACTTTGATTTGTATTATTTGCTGTTCACCGCGCGTTTCTGTTTTCTTGCATTGCATTGGCATGAGAGCTCTATGCTGGCTCTTTCGTTCCCCCTTGTCTTCTGTATGCAGATTTTGTGAATAAATTTCAATAATACATGCTAAAAAATTTATTGTAAGCGTATTATGTATTGAATGCACAAGCAACGAGCAACACAACAACCTCTTTGACTGTGTACTTTTGCGCACTGGCGCACAATTTATAAGTTAATGCTATTTTATACGCTGTCGCTCTCCGCTGACGGTATTGTTGTACACACGTATAATTCAAATGTACATGCAGTTATAATTGAACTTGATTCTATCTCGTCGAATGTGGCTGCCGTTGCTGTTGTCATTCTACAACTTTATAGTATTTGCCATTTGGATATTGCCTATTGTTTATGCGTGCGACGATCACAAATTTATTCGCCAAATGTTTTGAGTGCGCAATTTCATTGCCTATATATTGTGCATATTGCACGGTTTGAAAATCGCTTGGCTGACATTCATTTATATTCAACAATGTTTGTTTTCGATGTTGCTTTAAAAAACACATACACACAGCCGACGCGATTGGGATTCTGATTTTTCCTCACATTACTATGATTTACATTTTTTGTTGTTTTCGTTTTTTTGTGATAATTTGTCAATTTATTCACTGCTGCTTTGATTGACCTCTAATGGTTTGTCATCGAAAGGTTAAAATGCGAGTTTTTTTGTTTTTTGTCCATCCATGATAAGAACAAAGTCTCAATGACTGAAATGTAAAAACAATTTTTCAGCTTCAATCATTAGACTGACGGCCATTCGAAAGTTCACTAATTTGAAATTATCTTCAAGAAGTCTTTGAAACGAACGCTGCTTTTTTGCACTATCGTTTTGTATTATTTTATTGCGCACCAACGTCGAATGTTGCGTAATTTGTATGAGAATTTCATATATGTGAACAATTAGATTATATAAATCGGTAGACTCCCTGGATCTATTTCGCAAAGATTGACTCGCTTCTCTCTTTCTCTTTCCCCTCTATCTATCTGTATGGCTCTATCTCTCGCTCTTTTTCCTTTCTTTATCGTTTATGACTGTAATGCGCTTCTTATATCTGTTGCTGTCGTTCTGTGTCGTAACCGTAAGATTTTTCTTGTTTACCGAATATAAATGCAAATTGTCACTGTTGCCAAATATTAATTGAAGGTGATCTTCGTGCTGATTTCTGCAACAACTTTTATTTATTCATACAATTTCATATCCAACGATATTCGCCATGTTTCCACTGTTGCGTTTCGGCAAATCGAATGAAAACAACATAAGTTCCATGCAACAAAAACACACACACTAAACGAATGAATATTTCATGAAAAACCCTGGAAGTTCGTTGACATATTTGGCAGTATTTTTAGTAAATTTACATTTTCGGCGAATAATATGGCACACCAATTGAATAAAGTGAATTTATTCCTTGATATTGTTAAGTTAAAAATAAAACTCGGAAGCAATTGAATTCTATTTTCAACTCTTGATTCTTAGAATATATTCTGTGTAATGTGTACGGTGTACACACAAAAGGGAGAAAACATCCGGCCAATTGAAATTTATGATCATGCCATACAAAATCTGACAAACGTTTACATACAAATAATACTTATACTTTTGAAAAACTTTTATGCACGACAGAATCGACGAAGTTTTTATTGTAAACAAATCATTATCTAGTTTCAAGATTTTCGAAAATTCACCACATAAATCCAAAGTAGCATTCGAGACATCAATGTTTAATTGCGGCTAATCTATAGCCAAAGTCGAAAAACCAAAATTGTCGCTTATTAATTACGGTCGTTACGGTTTTCGTGTCGTTTTTCTTTCGGAGTTTCCAGTTTTTTTTCGACACTTTTTCCTTTAAATTCCATCTTTTGGCTTCTTCACAGAATTTTTTGCGTATATGTGTGTGTGTGTCAAAAAACGACTTCTTGATTATCCATTATCTGCTTAATAGTCGGACACAACCATATAATGAATCGCCAGAGCATGTAATGCACCTTTTTGGCTATGCACAAATGCAATGTTGAAAGGTAAAAGTGGAGTGTAACGTCGAAAGACAGACAGAGAGAATGCAACGACCAACAAACGAACGAACAAAGAAGAAAAAAACTATCTACTGGAATTGAAGTGAATTACACAAACAAAATTCTGTTAGATTGTATCGCATCGGACCGTATGCACAACGATTATACACATTAGCACCATTAAAAACAGTGTTAAGAAAAAATGCCATCAAACCCAAAACGAATCCATGTGAAATAGAGAAATACGAAATAAAATGGAAGGAAAACGAATTGAAACAAAAAAAAATGAGCTGAAATATTACGAATATAAAATCTGAGTCAGAGTTATAGTCGCAGCGAACAGGCTAAAAAGGGAGATGGAGAGCGTGCAAGAGAAAGAAGGAAAAAAGACGACAAACGAAGAAGACAGAATGTAATATATGTGAATAATACATTGCAAAGGCTTTGCGCTGTTGTCGTTTGTACATTCACACCGACAACGTTTAGCTTTGCTTCCACCGAAACATCTTATATAACTCGAGCAAGTATTCAAATAATGTTTTATTTTTTGTGTATACACATTTTTATGTCCATATTTTACGGATACTTGGGCTCTTCTTCTCTCTTCGAAACAGAAAAAAAAAGAAATGTTTCTCTTGTTGCTGTTGTTGGTAATATTTTGTAATGTGATTTCATTTGTTAGCATTTGTTTGAATTGTCGATTTTTGCTGCCCACACACAGACGACTTGAGCGTGCGCTCGCACTCATAAACACGCTCTCTGTATGTATTTTCATCACGTCTCGTCTTGTCTCGACAGTTCGCCAAGTTTCCATTGCAAAATACAACCAGAAGAAAACAAAAACAACAAATTTAACTCTTGCGTCGATATAATTGTAATTGCAAACGCAACGAATGACCGAATGTATGAAACTCTGTACAACAAATAATTCGAAAGAATTGTGCCTGAAACAAAACCGTACCGATATGTGTGCGCATACATATGTAAGGTCTTTGGGTATGTGTGTTTTTATTGTGTTCCATTTGCTTTTATCACTCCATTCGGTTGGTTGTTCCATTGTTCGCATTCAAGTCAATAAAACACTCCTAAACGATAAACTAAACACGAATGCCAATTGCTTATCGCCCGAGTCATAGTGCAGCAACTGGGGCGACAACAATATCGACTTCGATACAATGTGGAAACAATGAGCATTTCTAATTTATTTTGGTTTATGAAATATTTAAGGCAATTTATAAAATGCATAAATTGAATGTGAATTGCTTGACTGTATGCCATTTTCGATAGTATTTGCACGAATAGATGCGCATTTGCTTTAAGCACATTGAATTGTGATTATTATTATTTTTTTTTTTGCTTTGCTTTTGAAATATTTATATTTATTTATTTTTTTCGTTATCTTTGGAATCATTTTTCAAAAAAATAGCAGTATATTTATACATAAGAAGCGATTTATTTGTATAATTTTATAATTTCGATATGCAAACCGCAATGATCTTTTGGCTTTTTGCCTCATAATTTTTAAACAAGTACAGCGGTACACGAAACGTTTAATATTCATTTGCATTCTATTTGGGAAAATGACATTTGCAAATAAACAAAGGAAAACACTCTCTCACTCTCCGACACTCTT